TCCTTAGTCATTTATTCTATCTGTGCTTTATTGATTATGCAAAAACATTTGACTGTGTGGATCATAACAAGTTGTGCCTGATATTGAAAAGAAGGGAGTCCCAGAGCACTTAGTTATGCTCAAAAGAAAGCTATACCTGTATCAGAGAGAAGCGTGGCTTAAAGTTGAGAGGAGAGTGTGTGAGGATTGTATTCTCTCTCCATACCTATTTGATCCGTGTACTGAGCAAATTATTTGAGAAGCTGAACTCTATAAAAAGGAGTGTGGCATTAGGATTGTAGGGAGACTCATCAATAACCTGTGTTATGCAGATGGCATAACCTTGCTTGCTGAAAATGAGGAAGACTTGAAGCACTTGTTGCAGAAAAATCAAAGAATGCAGCCTTTGATATGGATTGCATTTCAATATCAAGAAAATAATGATTCATACCACTGGATCAGTAAGCAAAACCATGATGGGTGGAAAAGAGATTGAAACTGTCAACAGCTTCGTCTTGCTTGGATCCACAATTAACACTCTTGGGAGCAGAAGTCAGAAAGTAAGAAGACAAATTTGCTCTGTAGAAATCTGCAGTTAGGGGCCTTTCCAAATTATTAAGGAATAATGATATCAATTTGAGAAATAAGATGCCTCTGATTCAGGTCGTAGTCTTTCTGATCATGGCATTTGAGAGCTGGAGAATGAATAAGGATGACAGAAGAATTGGTGAAAAACCTGTACATAGACCAAAATACAGTTGTACGAATAGACTAAGGAAATATTGCATGCTTAAAAATGAGGAAAGGTGTGAGTCAGAGTTGTATTGTTCTCCCTATCTATTCATTCTGTATGCTGAGCCAATAATTCAGTATGCTTTGTCAGTCTGGAAACTAAGGTGTGCCTGATACAGGCCGTGGTCTTTGCAATCACTTGCTATATACATCAGAGAGCTGGACAATGACTAGGTATGATAGAAGGAGAATTGATGCCTTTGAGCTGTGTTGCTGGAGAAGTGTATTGAATATACCATGGACTGCTAGGAGAGCAAATAGGTTCATCCTGGAGAGGTTTAAACAAGGCTGCTCCTTGGAGGCAAAGATTCTGAAGCTCCATCTGCCATAGTTTGGACATATTGCAAGAAGGGACCAGTCCTTGGAGAGGGACGTCATGCTTTGGAGGGTGGAGGGACAGCACAGGAGAGGAAGGCCCTTGATGGGATGAGAGACAATAAGACTAGCACAGGTTACAGGAGGGTTTAGGGCTGTTGTACATAGGGTCACTATGAGTTGCATGCTACTCAATGGCACACAACAATAACAACAACAACATATTATATGAAGAAGTATGTGATATCAAGATTGGAGGAAGACTCATTTACAGCCTGTGTTGTGCAGATGTCGTAACCTTGCTTGCAAAAAGTAAAGATGACCTGAAACAATTGCTGAAGAATATCAAACACTGAAATCTTCAATATGTTTTACATCTCAACCTCAGTAAAACAGAAATCCTTACCTCTCAGCAAATAGACATCTTCATGATTGTTGTTGTTGTTTAATGCCGTTGAGTCATAGACGACTCATAGCGACCCTATGAATGAACAGCCTGAGCACTGTTTGTACATAGAATTTCCAGAGGCAAGCCATTTTGGAAGTGGGTGTC